AGGCCGCTGCCATGCTACTCACCTTCGTACAGAAGGACACCACGCTCTGGCTGGTGCTCGGCGTTGGTCGCCAAGATCCGGCGTCTCCTCCGCGTATAACACGATAATGTGTTCACTGCCGAACTGATGCCCACCGATGGTCGCTCGCTGGCGTGCGGCCTGCGGCAGCTGGCAGCGCGAGTGGGCGCCGCCCTCTCGCCGTTCGTGGTGGACTTGGTGAGCGAGCTGCACGAGAGCGCGCCGTCGTCCGTGTTCGCCGGCCTCGCCATGCTGGGCGGCCTCGCCGGCCTGCTCCTGCCGAGACCAACGGCCGCCCGATGCCGGAGACGGTGGCCGATGTAGATGGGCAGCCGGTGTCCGCCGCACCGACCGCCGAACGCACCCGCACCAATGAGACGTGCCAGGGCGCTGATGATCCGTGAGCTGGCTGTAGCGGCGTCTCAGTGGACGCACCCGCAGGGCGCTCTGATTACACATGTGAACATGACGTGTATGGGATATAATCCATGTCAGTGATTCTTCAAACGTACCTGGTTAGTTACCTAAACTAAGTTAGTAGGCAAGTTACATTTGAGTAAGTAAACGAAAAGTGATTTGGATTTATTCGCCTATTGAACGTCGTGGCAGAATAATACAATTTAGTGCAGTCAGGAAGATGTGAAAACCTGGCCGAATGATGCCAAAACATACGGCAAATAGCCCAAAACAAAGCAGAGTATAGAAGACATATGAAGCTTGTTATCAGAATTCAAAATCGTGGAGTACGCATCAAGGATATTAAACTTGAAACACACCGACTAGGTAGTGGCGTTTGCGTAGGGCCAGGTCCATCATCATGACTAGCTGAACCCTTTATGGAAGAAACTGTGGGGCTCCCTTGCAGGCAACAAATCAACCCGCATCAACGGAAGTAGTGTTATTACGAAAACACCATGCCTAGTATTTATAACCATTGACGATATATTTTGTTCCCGACTCGTTCGATCCTGCCAAGAATTTGTAGTGCGCGAAGTGAACCTCTTAATGTCGCAGTTCTCTACAGCTAAGCGTGGTGTTCACATTGATGCGAGGTGGGCGCCATGAAAGGATGGAGCTTCACACTTAATTATGCAACACATGTGGCAAAGTTTTGTGTTCCCGGACACAATTGTACACCTTTCCTAAACATGTCGCGTTTCCTTTCACGTGCTATAATTTTGGTTTATGCACTCATCCTGCCAAGAACTCCTTCGGAAAGGACCGTTTTAAAGCAATCGTTCAGCCAATTTGAGCACCACTCACTCAAACTTGAGTGAGCACGATTCAACTGCCTGGCTGTCGAGGCCCTTCGTTTTTTTCTCTCAGAGTATTGAGGTCCCCGGGACGGCCACGGACGCCCGGAGACAGCCATATACCGGATTTGACCCGAATTCCGCCTGGGGTCCGAGTCGGCAGTGGAATCATCCAAGTTTTCGGTATAAGAACACCGCGTTGACTAGGTTCTAGGGAGAATTTCCTATCGGGCTTCTTCGCTCCGCAGTGTTCTTAGTTAGACTTTTGCGTCGCATACCCTTGTGCAGTTTTCCGTCTTACGTAAATCTTCGTATCCGTGAAACTTGGTACATGCCAAGTTACAATGATTGTACGCATGATTGCATTGTCTGCCTCGTTTTACAGTAATTTGTATATGCAATTCATTGTGTGACATTTACTCATGCACAACATTTTTGCACATCTTCGCCACGTCAAATTTTCTCGCATCGCCGATCAATGGCGTCGCGCTTCTCTCCGCGCGCATTTCTTCATATCGACAAATATTCCTACCCCATTCCTTCGCACAGGCCATTTTTCTCATCACCTCGTTATGAAAGCCTAATTTTTGACATCACATGTCGTCGAATATGAAATTATTTGGTTCCAGTGGCTAAATGTGGATAAGACAGATAAAGCGTAGGGTGGCTCACGCTGCATGCGCGGATCTCATCTTCGCAGAGCTGTTGTGTCAAATGATATGTGTATGTATCTTTGCGAACTTGAGAACGATACACAGCTTGCGCGAACTTTGCATTACATGACTAATGCAAAGAACCAGCGAGCTGACGGAAGACATGAGTAATGGCAACTGGAAAAATATCTGCAAATGTACCATCGTCATTAATTCATCTGTTGTGGATGGTTGCTGAACAGCTTTGTAATGTTTCTTCCATGGTGATTGATCGGCTTAACGTTTGGTTATTAACATAGGGGTAATGTGACAGCCGCACATGGACCGTCTCCATAAGCACATCGCTCGACTGCGCTGACCGACTGGTCATTCGCTGCCGGATGACCCGAAGTCAGCTTTGAACATGCGCTCCGTCGCTCGCTGTTTACACGGTTGATGATACTGTACAGAGATCATCATATCGGATTGCCGCCGGACGACGCTACAGGAGCGCACCCATGTTTGCGGCACTTCGGGCCGAATGTTCAACACCTTATTGACAGCTTCTTAGTAAGCCAGCTTCACAAGGTCACGTATAGGGACGGGGAATCAGCACATACACGAAGAAGTGATATATGGGCCCCGCTAAGTACGGGTCATGCAGCTAAGGGACATGACGGTGATGATGTTGGAGGGGAGGAGGGACGGGTTTACAAGCGTATTGACGTCCAAAAGGGAGCTTTCATCATTGGTATGGGATTTGACTTTAAAAAATCATCTTGAATATCGCTTCTCAAGACATAAACCTTTCTCGTTTCTGAGCGCCCATGTTTTTGTTCATACGCTGGGCTCCAAATGTCCAGGCGCCTACAAATGGCCTTGCCATGATGGTGCTTATCGCTCCACGCGGCGTGCCTCTTGATGATCTTCTACTCGTTTACTTTGACATTTCATTAGCGGGAATTCTGAGGGTGCTGTTCGTTGTAAGGACGTCGCAGACTTTGTAGCCTGATCTACCGACCTTTTGCCAGCAAGTTCGACGTGGCTCGGTATCCAGATCAGCGCAGCGAGTTTTCAATGTTCTCAGCGCACAGAGTTTTCATGGGAACAGCGATAGCAGCTTGGCCTGAGACGTAACATTCTGTCTGTCTATTGGGTTTGCTCGATAATTCAAGTCGTGAGACACGGTCAAGGCAGCGCGAACTAGCGGGAAGCCCTGCAGTAAAAGCTGAGTCCGAAAGGGGAGTACTGTCCGCCCGTGGTCTCGAGACATCACGTGCGCGCGCCCTGCACCGTGCACCGTTGAGTCATCCTCGTGGAAATGAGCACAACGCCTGTGTACTGTACTACGAGCTTCTGAGCTTCCTGCTTGAACACGGCAGCGTGTGTAGAACCCGTGTGGAGCTAGCTGATTCATCTGTCGCATGCAGGTTGGACAGTTAGCCATGGCTCCGCAGATGAGCTACGGCGGTGCCGTATCTGGCACCGATTAATCCCAGCTGCTCGCAGGCATTCAATCACAAACACAGACTAGCTGGATCTTATTAATCCTTCCCTGGGAAAAGGATTGCGTCAGGTAAGCAAACAGTTGCGTTGTTACCAAAGTTTCTTCCCGGGAAACAGTTCCTGGTTCCAGACCAGGAAGATACCACGAACCAATCTGGTACTAGGCTTAGGACCATGTCGCCGAAATAGCAACCTACATATCTGTTACTTAATACTTAACACATATTGTAGGACAAATCTAAATCTTGAACACAAAATTGTGTCCTACAAGCATAGCCTCTTGAGTTGTATTACCATGAACCCCCGTTGGGACTTTATTTTAAAAGGAGCTCACGGTGAAATGGGGTGTTATAACCGAAAAACTGCGGAAAGTGCGAGAAAACCTGCAATTTGATAGTCCTGCGGGTCGTAAAAGTGGGTGATCACACTTATTTGAGAGTGTGAATAAAGCGCTTAAGGTGGGTGTGATGACTGGTGGTGTGTGCCAGTGGCTTGTATTGCTCTTGAGGTGATGGTGAGTGCGCGTGCGAGGCTTGTGCTTCTGAGAGTGGACATTGTTTTGGTATTCTTTAAATCCCAATAAAATGTGATATATTGATACCGGCTTCTATCTTAAGGCTCGTGTTTGAGCATGACAAGGTAGTGATGTCGGCAAACTGAAAAAAACACCAGCACCCCTGCTGCAGGAGTGTTCAAAGGCAATTTGCTACTTCATTATGACCTTGCTAGCATTTTGAACCTATTAAGGTATTACAGCATGTAACTAATCCATTGCACACCATCATATTAGCGATTCATCTAAGCAGTGGGGACAAGTCAGCACTACTTATTAATGCACATGGCTGGTACAAGCTCGCATGATGCTTTTCCTAAACAAATATTGTGTGCAAGCAAGCATTGCTCGTAAGTCCTCATTGTCATAGTCACTGCAATTTGCGTGAGGTGCTGGGTGCTGAGAAGGGTGGAGAAGCATTGCTGTTGGTTTTTTTTGGATAGCACTTGATAATTTTGTATCATGGGCCTTGTCTACACCAACAGCTTCATCACTTCCCCGCATTTTGATTATGTAACCATAACTACATGCACTTGACACGTCTCCAGCGTTGTGCAAGGTGAGGTAGTAATACAAATGTTATTAGCTGTGTGAACAATATTTTCGAGTGAAGCAGCCTGATGACTGCAGTATGTCACATGTCTGTGGAAGCAAAAGACGTGTTCGCATCTTTGTCAAACCGTGGGAAGAGTGCTCGAAGTGGTGTGTTCTGTTTCATTGGTTACACGTCATTACGTACGTTATATATTGCGACATGAAGCGGACAAATTAAATGTTGTAATCTTAGGTCGCCAGATTCAACCGATCCGTGAAAATGTAGGTTACTACGAGCTGTTTCTGGCTTGGAGAAAAGTGTCTCATTGTTTCCTGAATTTGGAGTTAACTTTAGTTCCCTGCGAATAGTAGTGAAACGTGAGACGAAGTAGTGAAAGCAGCACTTTAAGACAAGCATTTTCCTTGTACATTGTCTACAACACGGACGCAGCAAAGACAAAAGATGGGTGCAAACCGGCGGAGGATCCGCGCGTTGTGGACGGTTTCCTGACATGGGTTGGGGAGGTCCCGTTTAAGGTTTGTTCACATAGTCTCACACTTCTATATCACATGCATTTGAAATCCGATTGGTTGATAGAGGAACCGAAAGAAAGCATTTAAACCGTTTAGATCAAGTGTATATCATGATTTTTAATTAATGTTTTGTCTGAGATCTATGCTGGGATAGTATGATGCAGCCAAAGCTACCTAACTTTGCAGCTCAGTCATGACAGCAGGCTGTCATGCCAGCATAAATGGCAAACCCTGCCCATAGTGACTTAAATAAGATTTTGGTCTTGTTTTCCATCTAACAGGTGTGTGATTCCCAGCATAAGGAAATATTTGTGTCCCTTGCATGAGTATGCTTCAATTGTATGGTATGAATTGGACATTTGGCAACCCCCAGATTAAAACAGTATAATGAAATGATGGCAAATAATGACAAGTTAATGGTGGTTAAATGTTTATAAGTGGAATGTTATTGAAATTGTATTTGCTGCAGAAAGCCATGTATTGTTGAGAGGAACTGGGCAAAGCCAATAGCTAAATATTGGTAAATGGGCTGTTATTCAAATTGTGTTTGCTGCTGAGACCCTTTTGTTGATATGAAGAGCTGGGCATGCAAAGTCAGCCAATAGCTGGTAAAATATTGGTCCACATGTGTGGCTGAAGGAAGCTGGCCCAAGCCAAATCTATTCTCAGACCCCTTCACTCAGTAATAATGCATACTTGTCATGAATAAGCACATAGTAAAGTATGAGGTTTTTGTCCCTTAGTCAGTCAACTTAGAATTGTTATGCAGGTGAAAAGCTTCTTAAAGTAAAAAGTTCCTAATAAATCTTGGAACATATGATGAGAACACAACTTAAAAGCGCTCAAACATTAGAACTTTAAATATATCTGGTAACCACATGCAAGGTCAAAGTCTCAGTCAAAGTTTTGTATTTCGCTTGCAAAGCATATCATGCACAATCAGAGTTATCGCAAGAAAATGGTGAGTGCAACAATCAATCACTACAAAATATCTGGCAGTCTTATCCAGTCATACCTGACACATCATCACAGTCTATGATGTGTGCAAGCACGTCACGTCAAATAATTGCTCACAGGTGACAATATCTACAGCATAGTCCACATTGGGCCCACAATGCCTAGTTTTCACTCGCTCGTTTTGGAACGAGTGCCACCGTGATCACATACAACACTGTATTTACTGCAAATGTTGTGTGCAGGAAGGGTGTGAATGCATACATGCAGGTGTAAGTGTGTGGTGTATGCGTTTGTGGTCTGAAAGCGTGCATTTGTGCGAAAGAATGCTTGCACATCTGCTTGAGTTGGGTATTGCGTGGTTCGTGCACTCACTTCCCACCATAATTTTGTGGTTTGAGGTTTCTGGCATGGCTGGCTATATAAACCCTATTCTTCTCCACTTGTGGTTAAAGCTATTCATCTCATTACATAATTCAGTGGAACAGCACTCTTTTTGTGCTTTAAATTTCAGCAGATCTAGGAAATGTCCTATTTGTGGTGATACATTCCTCACATGCACCTTATAAGCCGTGAGTTTGTCTATCTCAGGCAAGGTTACTTGTTTTATGATATAACCCCGCTTTCAAATTTGTTTTTGCAATCATGCAAATGCAGTTTTACTCTGCTCACGGACATAGTCTTTAATTTCATAAGCATGTGCTACATTACATAAATGTCGAGCAGGCAGACAGCAAAGTCACGAACCAGGAGGTGATAAAGGTTATGTTTGTCTGTGGGGTGAGCAATAAGGTTGATTAGAATAGAAAATTACTATATTGCTCTGAATGCATGGTGCAGGGTCCAACATTCGCTATGGTGTGAATGCCTTAATGCATGCAAAAATATACACAGAATGCATATGCATCATGCAATTGTTCCTGCAGCTTTCGTCATATGCCAGCACCCTTGTGTGTTTCCAGGGAAACAGATGAAAATGTGGAGGCTCCTGTCAGGCGGCTGGGGGTTTTGGGTTCGCATGCTTGCGCTGCTCTGGTTCCTGATCGTCGCGGGGCTCGTCATCAGCCGACTTTCTCAGCGTACATGCAGCAAACGGCTGTTCCCCCATCGTGACGACCTGGAGTCATCTGCGCAGGGTACAACTGCTCTTGGAGACTGTCCAAGAAAGGTGTATGCTTGCATGGCTTTATCTTACTTCCAGGATTTTTCCTGATTTTGGGGATTTTCTGAAACGTGTCAATGGACGTGCGGGCCGGTTCGCTGCGTATGTTATCCTCACACTGATGTATGGGTTGAGATGTGTGCTGAATGATCTGATGTGGATTTGCGGACCTTTCAGGTGTTGTGCTGGAAGACCCATCTTTATACCAGGGTGCTCTTGAGACTCAGAATATCCAGTTCGGTAGGGATCTAGTTTGTTTTGCATCTCAACGTGGCCTACGGAGACCCGTAGACAGGCCGCCTGTGCGCAGGGCTTATTTCCCACCTGCCGCGAGCGCACGCGCAGCACCCACGGCTCAGCTGCGGCGTCCTGCCCCCAGAGGCTGGGCTGGTGCTGGACGTGCTGCAGCTGCGCTATTGGCTGTGCTACGGCAGTCTGTGGGGCCAGTTACACGAGCGGCGCAACCCGGCCTGGGAGTCGGACGTCGAGCTGTGCGTGCTGCGGGAGCAGGCCACCGACGACCGCCAGGACAGGTCAGTGCTCACGGACCCGCCGCCGCCGCCGCCGGCCGACCACAGGGGACCGCAGAGGGCCGTGGTTAGCGAGCTGACTCAGGCGCTGCTCCCGTGGATGGTCAGGCGGGGCCCACAGGCCGGCAGAAGGACAAGGCGCAGAGTGGTCCGGAGGTGGACGAGTTCGTGTGTTCGCCCGAGACTGCGTGCCGCTTTCATGTGTTCGCCTGCGCCTCTGTACCGCCCGGTGCCGCTCTGTGCCTCTGTGTCGTGTGTACTGCTAGCGTGTTACGTGCTGTGTTATTGCTTGAACCCTCCGCGTGAGCTGCGCTGACCGTGCGCTACCTCCTCCCTCGGCTGCTGGAGCCTGCGACTCATCGCGGCGCCGTTGCAGCCTGGTGACGCAGCTGGAGGCGGCCGGCTTCACGGCCGAGCTGGACGCGCGGCGGGGCCTGCTGGACGTCTACAGGTCGGACGGCACGCCCGGACTCGTGCAGCTCATCTTCTTCGCGCCCGACTCTGTGAACAAGGTAGCCGTGCCGACCCCGGCCGCCCCGGTGCGCTCTTTAATCCCAGCGACGCTGGGCCTATCTGTTGATGCGTTTGAAAACGGACTCCCTTTTGATTACCGAAAGTCGTCCGCGACAGTGAGAGGCGTGTGAGAGACGTGTGAGACGCGGCGCGTGAGAGCCCCGACGCCTTCGCCTCTCGCCAGATGTACCGGCGGGACGGCTGGCTGCACCGCTCGCTGGGCGCCGACTGCACGGCGGAACCAGAGCTTCACTGCTTCCCCGCCCGACTGGTGGCGGCGCCACTGAAGCGTCGCGCCTTCGGTCATTACGAGATGCCCGTGCCTTGGGTGGGCTTCGAGCTGCAGAAGTACCTGTACCCGGATTCCTGGTATCGGGATTATGCACCCAGCTGCTGACGCGGACGGCAGCGTGGTGACGTAAGGTGGTGGAGTGAATTGGAGGGGATTACAATGTAAATGGCATGTGGAGAGATGCGGGCGCGGGACAAGGTGGAGGATCTGGGGGGTTGGGGGGGGGGACAGATATGCTGACCGATGTCATTGCATGAAGTCACTTGTGATCAGACAAGTACGTGTTTTTATGCAAGACTGAGTGATCATGTGCCCCCATGAGCTAGTCGTCGACTTGCCTCTCCTCTGCTGCCTGGGCCGTCTTCCGGCACGTGCGGCACGCGTTTGGCACCGTGAAATCGCGTTGAACGTGACCCACCTGAGGCTGAAGTGCGCCACCCTCCGTTCCGTCGTCCAGTCGTTTGGTCCGTTGTGTTCCCGTATTTCACCCCTTACTACTTAAGTGATATATGTATATGGCCGGTGCTGCATAAATGACATATGCCCAAATCCCATGCAAGCAGCCTTTGTCCTGGTGTTTAAGCACATCTTCCGCGTGTCGAGAGATGCGTAATGTGTGGGGGTTGTCGTACAACGTTTTGTGCGTGGGTATTCATATAACAAATGCGTTTGGTAGTATTTTTATCTTCACGCAAAAGTGCTGCGCCTTGGATTTCATGAGCCTGTGTTTTGGGCCGCCGATGCAGCTAACTTGTCTGGGCTTTCTCACACTGTCGTGTTGCGCGGTAATTAGAGGGTCATGCGTGTGCCGGACCACAGTGTGGCTCACCACTGAACAAGTCTTCGTGCATATACCGTTGTACTTCCTTTGTCGGTGCCTCAACATGCGCGCGCTTGTGTGTGTGCGTGCGTGCGTGCGTGCGTGCGTGCGTGCGTGCGTGCGTGCGTGCGTGCGTGCGTGCGTGCGTGTGTGTGTGTGTGTGCGTGCGCGTGCGTGTGCGTGTGCGTGTGTGTGTGCGCGCGTGCGCGTGCGCGTGCGTGTGTATGTGTAGAAGGGGAGTTCCACTTTCCACTGCGTATTTTAAAACTGTGTGGGCCACGTGGTCAGGCCACACCTCTGGCTGTCTTTCCGGTGCCATTCCTGGTCCGTGCGTGGACAAGACACACGTCATAAATGCCGCTGCTGAGCGGCGCGGCGCTCCTCGGCGGATGCGCCGCGCCCCGCCGGAGCGAGGTCTCGCTGGGCTAGAGCGGAGACGGCTCCCACCTGTGTGCCATGCCGGACGTTCGGGTGTAGTAAGCGGCTGGTGATTCGTCGTACCCCGCTACAGTCAATGACCAGGCGTGTCATGGCCGCCATGAAGTAATTGGAACATGACTGCGCGCACATCGTGGCACATGCCAGTCAGCGCACGTGCGGGCCGCCATTGTTCATATTGTCCTCATCACGTCATTGTCGGCGGTGCAACACGACGCTCAGACGATGGCGAAGTTGAATGGAACTTGATCCGGTACCACAGGAGTGAACACTGCCATTGACAGAAAGACATCATCCACAAGGACCAATTGACTCCCGTAATCCAACGTACAAAAGGAAGAAGCCGCGTTTTCAAACAATACCACATGCATACTCGTCTGCTGCGGCAGAAACGCTCCTGTTTTTCTAGGTTGCAGGTCCCATTGTGTTACCCGTGTGTTTTGCGTATTATCATTGCTATTATTTTAATAAGGGTAGTACCTTTTGAAGGGCCCATTCCGAATTATGATCGTCGTTTTACCCACGCAACCTTGGAACGTTAGTGGTGACTTCGGGGAGGATGTTCCGCAGTTCTGGGTGAGAGGTGACATCACATCTCGTGGGACTCATTCCGGCGGCAGGACCAGGGAATGATAAACGGTTCTTGACCCGGCGAAGTTTTGGTCACGTTTCCGACGCACTCCGAGAGAACGATGCGTTGCCAAATGCGATTAGTCCTGTCGTGTGTAAGAAAGAGACGCGCAGCTGATTACGGCGTCAAATCTGGGAAGCCATTTCAAACAAATATACAATACTTGTCGCTCGAGCAACCCTTAGTGAAGTGATAAGCTAAGGACCGCTGTATAGAGAGATTACTGTTTGTGTGGTCTCCCGTAGAACAGACCACGATGTTACATCCTGACGCTGTCCTGCAGCCATATCGTCTGTCCTGTGTTGCTTAATGTCTGCGCGCGCCCCGGTGTGCCTCTGCCGTCACTGGGACAGAGTGCGTCCTGCCGGGACCCCTGCCTGCCGTGGGGCTGTGATACCAGCCAGGGAGCTCAGTGGTGTAGCAAAGACAGCTTTTGTGCCTCATGTGGACTTCCTGTTGAGTGGATGTTCTCTGTCAATGCGCCGTTCTGTGTACGTTTTGTGTGACAGAGATCAATGGGTGGGCAGCACATTGTCGCGATTTTACAGCAGTCACGTTTAATTATCGTTCAGGGAGAGAGCGTCCGATGTCGGCATTTGTATGAAGACTGATCGCTCAGGATAAGATTACTTATATTCCATTGTGTGATATTCTATTTTACATGTGCTGAGTACTGTGCGACCCAGCTGGCACATGCTCACATTTCTCTGACGAGATTGACTGCTGTTCCGCGTGGAGCCTCCCGTGGAGCCGCAAACAGTCCATAATCGCCATAATCACGAGCTATGCGTATGCAATGCCGATGCGTATGTTCTCAGCTCTCCGAACGAACCATCTGTGCTTCCTCTCTGTGGCTGCCCTGACAGCCTCCAATACAGAAGCCCTCTGACGTAGAGTTTCCTGAGTGCCGCGGCTGTCTCCGCCGGAGAGAAACACGGGTCGGCTGCTCGCCAACTCGCATGGAATACCCACCATTTTCGGGTGGATTGAACGGTGTGTGACAGGTTAACAATGAGCTAAAACATGAAGGAAACTTACATTCCTATTTTCAAACTGTTTGAGGTTACTAGGTATGTTTGTATGTGTTTTAGTCACCGCAGTCTGTCCCCCCGGTAAGTCCGGGTCCAAATCCGATTAATCTGTAAAATGAATCAGTTCGCTCCAGCCCTAGTGCCAAAAGAGCATGAACCTGGGCCTCTGTCGGCACTGCATCTCGCCGTTTGCGCAATGCAACTGTTTGCACCGCGAACGGGCTTGCCCAATATATCAGCCGCCCGCATCACGACGTCTCGCGGGCTGCGCAGTCACTGGGATGTGTCCCTGACGTGCATCATGACGTAGCTGTCCGATGGCATGTATGCCAATCGCGCTGATGAATCCCTTGGCCGGCAGCTGGCGCCAGGGGCTGGTGATCGGCACCTGGGAAACTGCATAATGCATGAGAGGTGTAGCAGTGTCTCGGACAAATGCTTCTCACGCGACGCGTTCAACGCAGCATACAATGTGCGAAACTCAGAGGCATTCGAGCGGAGACGTCTGGACCCACAAACGTATATGGGGTTCTGCCTATGCCATGCCGGCAAAACAGAATAGAGTCTGAGGACGTCGAAAATCGCACGTCTGGTAGAGGAGCTTGGCCACTGACCATGAGGCCAAAATTCGCCCCGTCGCAACACATTACATTGCGGGTTCGACCTCAGTGCTATAATAAATCTACGAACCCCGCGGATTAGCCGTGGAAACACTGGGGACGATCCAGCGGTACTCGCAAATGTAGCATCCATCGCAACCGTACGCGCCAATAGAACACCACTCACGGCCGTGGTGCCGCGCCGAAGTCATCTAACAGAATAATACAAACGATGACAACATATCTGTTGTTCTGCACCTGTTGGAACCGACCAACTTAACCGCCAGAATTTTGGCGGGGAACCGCAAGACAAAAGTTTTCGGCTTCGGCCCCGGCCCTTCACGCTGAACATCGCTGCGTGCCCCCTCTGACCAGCACCGGTGCTGCACACCGGCTACACGTCACCGGGGGGGGGGGGGGGGAGGAGGCGGCGCGTACTTCCATCCGCGACAGACGGTCCATGGGAAGTCGACCGCGCTGGCGGCCGTTGCTTCGAGTCAATTAGGCCGGTGCATCCGAGGCCGCTGGCGCCACCACCTGGGGTCATCGGACTGCTGGCTCAGCTCAGAGTACTGGGCAGGTGGGGACCTATAGACGTAATGATCTGAGCGCCGTGTCCGACATGCGACGGCCTAGTCGTGCCTGAGTGTTCATGCTCCGTCGAAGTCCTGGTCGAATTAGAAATCAACGGCAGGAATAAACCAGAAAAAACAAGAGATAAATCACAATACCAGCGGTTAATGACCGTCATTTCCTACACAGTGTTAAACTGCACGCCGATAGATCAAGCCCAGTGCACGTTTTCCCAAACACCCGTGGACCACAGGATCTTTGACCATCACCGAGGAGAAGGCAGGGGGACGCCTCCCTTCGCTTGACCGGACTCGTGCAATCACACATGTGTGTTGGCACAAGTCGCGGTGACGTAACGCCCCTTTACGACACTGAGTTCGTGGGCTCACCAGAGAAAGTCCTGTGATAGATTACGGCAGATTGTTTCACGCAAAGACAGTGGCGTGGCGTTGCGAAAAGGTGATCACATACTGTCATGTACTACCCCAGTGTACTGTGGTCACGTACTCCATTTGCCCCAGTGCATCCCAGTGGCTGCCCTGTCCAGTACTTACCCCAGTGCCCAGTGTACCTAGAGACACGGTCGTTTCGTCCATCTGTTCCAGTAACGACCAGCTCTCTTCAGCCACAAACGCGGGCAACTCTATTATCACCGCATCACACCCTCTCGCGGTAAGCATCCAGTGGCGGAACGCACGCAGGCGCGCCGCCCCAGCGCGTCCAGCTGCAAGAGAAACCGCGCCCTTCCTCTCCCCCTTGCCCGCTCTTCCCGTGAAGCACCGTGTGCAGCCAAGCATTAAAATGGTGTCAGCCAGACGCCGCGCGGTTGGCGCCTGTCGCCGAGCCATTTTCACTTTCCAGCTGAGCATCCAACGGCCGGCGGCCGGTGGGGCGGCCGAGCCTCCTCCAGCGCCTCCGCTGGCGCTCGCTCGCGCGCGGCGCGACGCGCGTCGGGGCGGGTGGCGGCGCGCTCCTCTGGCAGGAAGGACAGAGCCCGACGGCTGCGGCACGCGGCGTTGCTGGACCGTGTCCCGCCGCGCTCGACTGCCGAAGAAAGCGGCGCTGGCCGGGGTCGCTGCTCCGGAGCGGCGCCGG